TGCCGCCAATCGTCACGCTTGGAGGGGTAACTTATTTGACATAATTGAGGCCGGCTAGCTCACGCATGCCCACAGCCATAGCAAATACAATTAAGTACAAGAAGGTAGCACTGAATGTCTTGATGTGTCTTAGGGCGACCGAGCGCATTGCTGAGGGACTAGGCATCCAAGGCTACCGTGCGCAGCAGGGTCTTGCAATTTAGAGACTGCTTAAATCCTAGTGAGCAGTCGCGTGTAATTTGTCCCATCCCCTGCCTAAACCATTTTTGAAACTACCCAGGACAGACTGGACGCACGTTAGGATCACGAGCATACGCTGACGGGTGACGAATTATCCCACATGTGGCTGCCCACACCTACCAAACGGGTCACGGGTTTAACTTCACAGCCACGAAGTTCATCGCCCACACACCAGCAGAGGCAAGACAAATGAAAGTTTGCAAGTTCAGACGAATAAAGTCATAATCTCGGCGAGCGATGCGCCTGCTTCTTCTTTACTTATGATGATGATTTAGGCGTCTGCATCGAAAAAACTGCTGCGGCAACAGCAAAACTTGACAAGGGCGGAGTGTGCACGTGTTTGTAAGTTCGACCACCGCAACCGGTGATGTCCACCATTTGCCCGAGAGCAGGGATGGTGACTGCGGCCAGGTTTAGTGAAAGTATACGAGCTGCCATCTACCCCACTCTAACCCCTCTCTTCTGCTTCAAACGGTGACAAGACAAGGTCGAGATGACCGAACGGGAATCGGGCGTAAGCCACTTTTTCCAGATGCAGCCAGAAACACCGCCTAACTTAGTCTTTAGTGACAGTAGACTTTGCACTGTCTACCCTCACTCACCTATAGTAGGTGTCTAGACAGACTCTAGCAAGCCAGAGCTGGTACTGCTACTACCACTAGTGCTAATTCTAATGCTACTTACTAGGGTGTAGTTGAGTGATAGTATTTTCTGGTACTGTTACTGTTTTTTTAGTCAGAAGTGACGCTGATTAAAGTTAGCTCTGGGCTCATATCCCCCAAATGTCAACAGGAAGTGTGGTAGTACTAGGGCTAGCACTGGCGCCACCATTTGTCAGAGGTGACGCTGATTAAGTCAGCGTTAGGGTTCATACCACCTTGGAGACAACAAGGAGTGTGAATCTGTATTTAAACTACTTCGAGTAATTACATGCTTGGGGCCCTGGGCACAGCAACGCTTGCTTTGGTTTCCGCATTCTCAACTCTATCCATTGGGCTGTGTACAATTCTACTAGGTACGAACTAAGATACTGCTGCCATAGGTACGTGCCCATGCTAATAGTGCTAATTTCTAGTAATCATGCTTCTAAAGCCAGTAGATAGTATATTGTAAATATTGTCTGCGTGTTAGTAGATAGGCGTACACCGATCAGAAACAGGACACACCCGCCCTGTTTTTTTGATGTCCAGTGAGTTAGGGATCTCCCAAACCTTTTCCACATGGCTAATTGTAATGTTACTTTCTAAGTTTCAGTAGCATGTTTGTTATTTTTAGGACAATTTACCGTAAGATAAGAGGATCAATGATGGCCATTTCTGCCTCATTAGTCGTCGTCGGCTGGATATACTCTACTCAAATTTAGCAGCGGAAATTGCCGCCAACCTAGAGTTCCGAACCCGCGTCTCTCCGGTCAGGGGCAGACGCCCTATCCATCGAGCTATCAGGCTCGACGTCTTGAGAGTTGTTGATCGAGACCATACATTAGTAGATAGGCGTACACCGATTAGATACAGGTACGGACTAAGATATTGCTGCTATAGCTACGTGTCCATGCTAAAAGTGCCAATTTATGGTAATCATGCTAACTTAAGCCAGTAGATAGTATACTGTAAATACTGCCTGTGTGTGTGCCTTTTAAGAAGTGGCATCCGGTGTGCACGTACCGAGCATAAAGTATTCCTTCTTTTGCATAGTTAACACCGGCACGGGGCCCTTCTCGTCCTGATCTGTCATGAAGCGCACCGGATCTGTGCCCATGGGTTTGTAGAGGGAAGACAGACTAAACCCGGGCACTCCAGCACCAGCAGCAGCAGCCGAGGTCAGCGGACGACTGCTTGGGTCAGCGGTTGCCCTCAAAAACTGCAGAATGCATTCAGCGTCGTGCAGCATGTAGGTGTCGGTAGTCCAGAAGTGGTCCGCGTTGCGCAGGAGACTGTGTTGTTCATCTGCAGAGGGAGAAATACGTTTTCGGCAAAAAAAGTATTTCCATTCACTGTGACCACGGGACGAATTTAAAAAATACTCAAAAATGTAGAGCTTTTCATAAGATCCACATCTGTCATGGAAATAGGTCCAAGGCGGGTTACCTCGGGAAGGCGGGTTACCTGTTAGTCTAGCTGCTGGCTACCCGGCGCGTCCACAGGTGGTGGATAGTAGAACGACCTTCAGTGAAGGTCAGCTGTGAAATAAGCGGGCCCTCGGATCTGACGAATAAGCAGTCGCGGACCAGCAGCGGCAGTGCTACCGGGGCGCAG